TTGGTTGGTTTGGTTGGTTTGGGTGGTTTGGATGGTTTGGTTGGTTTGGTTGGTTTGGGTGGTTTGGATGGTTTGGATGGTTTGCTTGGTTTGTTTGGTTTGTTTTGTTTTGTTTGGTTTTGTTTGTTTTGTTTGGTTTTGTTTGTTTTGTTTTGTCTGTGTTATTTGTTTTGTTTGTTTGTTTGTTTGCTTGCTTGCTTGGTTGGTTGGTTGGTTGGTTGATTGGTTGGTTGGTTGGTTGGTTGAACTGTTTGTTTGTTTGTTTTTTGGGCTTGTTTAGTTTGTTTAGTTTGTTTTGTTTGTTAGTTTGTTTTGTTTGTTTAGTTTGTTTTTGTTTGTTTGTTTGTTTGTTTGTTTGTGTTTGTTTGTTTTTGTTTGTTTGTTTTTTTGTTTGTTTTTGTTTGTTTGTTTTGGGATCGAACACATTTCTTGGGATGTGGCGATGGGTTTTGACAGCTAGTTCATTCGTTACACATCAACGTGCTGCTTGCACGTGACTATGTTGGTGTGCCTAACACGAGAGTGTTTTGGCGTAGCGCCATGGCAGGGGTGTTGTTTTGAATGGGGTGGAAACCTCATAGTTTGTCCAACGTTTTTGTTGTCATGGGTGTTGGAACTTTTTTTATGACGTGGAGTGCAAAAAATGCGACAGGGCCGAGGCTTGGTTCAAACTTAGCTTCAACGTTTGTGAGAACGGGAACACTTGCCCGGCTGCCATGGGATGCTGTCAGCGAGTGCCCGAGTTTGAGTTCGATTTTTTTGGATGCGTTACCAAACATGTTTAATGATGGGAATCTTCAAAGGATGGGCATGCAACTTTGTGTCAACGTTGGACGGTCGGACCGGTCGGACGCCTGGATGTGACACATTGCCAAGGTCTGCCAACACAAGTGACCCATCCAAGCGCTTCAGCTGCAAAGGTCCAACAGTTGGGGTTGGGGTCTTTGGAAGAACTTGAAGTCCACCAGCCCTTTTGCTTTGCAACTGGTGGTGAGCTGCGCAGTTGCCCATCACCACCTTTAAAGCTGAGGTGTCGATTGACGCAAGAGTTTCGGACAGCTGCCGCACTTTAAATTTGCCAAACCAACCAACTTGGGCCACGTGGGTAAACCATATTTGGCAACGAACGGGAAACATGGCAACGAGATGCAGATTCCAAATATTTCATTATATTTTTTTGCGGGACACATTTGAAACTAGTTATCAAAGAAACCCAGGAGATCATTTTGATACCAACAGTGGGTTGTGGGCAGGAGGTGGCCAGACTAAAGTGGCTTGGCTCGTTAGGTCATCATAAACCAGCACCACATGCCACTGGTGCCTGCAAGTCAGTCTGAGGCCCGTGATCTATAACAAAAATATGAGCGACACTGAGCGGGAGGCCCGGCGCCAGGCCGGTATCGGAGCTTGGGCCACTTGGTCAACCAGACGAAGTTTTGGCTTTTGAAACTCAGACCTGCTTGCCCCTTTGGCTTTGGCGGTATACATGCATACATACATACATACATACATACATAAATACATCTATATATATATATACATGAATGACATTCTCTCCCCGGCAGATGTTGTGCAGGCAAAAAAACACTTGGGCATTCACCGTCAGATTTTGTAATTCGTGTCCACATGTAGAGGTTGCATGGGGAAAGCACATTTCTTCCTTCTCTCCGAACAATCAACCATAATTTTCGATGCGTCTCAGGTTTGGAATGAGACTGGGGTGGTTAGTGCAGGACGTGGGAAAAGGGAACTGACTGGCTAGCATACTTTAAGAGGAGTAAGTAGGAATAGAGTCATAGAGAGTTTCACCCAGCCCTGCATGTCCTCATCTTGGAGAGTCAGAACACAGGAACATGTGAAGGAGACACCATCTTCAAAAAACCGCAGATACGCATGCAAGCAATCAAATAAGCTTCTGTATTTGTACATAGACATACATATTAGGACCTGTCAGCATCTAAGGGGCATTGACACATCCTTGGTGTTATTCGCGTCGGCATAACCAACCACCAACCTACCAAGCCACTACAAGCCACTGTGAAATGCCGAATGAGCAATAAGATCCCTCAAACTGCTGCCGGCCAAGTGGTGCCCAGCGCAGGCTGCGGCGCAGGCTGCTGAGAAGAGAGCACACGATTTGCCGATGGCCTCAACGCATCTCTGAAACTGCTCCCGTTCTGCTGGGGCTTTGGGGTGCTGTTGGAAGGCGAGGTGATATTTTTTCACTCTGCCAAGTCGCAGATTCCACTGGTGAGGTGGAAAAAGGTCCGGTTCAGGTCATGACGAGGGGAACTAGTTGGTAATTCGATCTGCACCAGTTTTTACGTCCAATGCTTGCTTCCTCAACAGACTCTCCCATTCATCCGAGAAACTCGCGTTCTGTTTTTGGACTTCCAAGGTCAACTCGTGGAGTGCAGGGCCCCATGAAGGCGCGTAGTGAACCTGGACACTCCAAGCAGTGCCTTGAAGACTTGGGTCTTGGAATGTCTTGGGTTTACCTTCAGCTTCTTCCTGTTCCGAGCTTCGTTCTTCTTTCCAAGAGAAAATCCGGAACCGAGCTCCGACACTTCGGCAGGGGTCAATCCGTCAACCGGTGTTCAGGGCCTGAGAAGTCGACCTGAACCCCGCAACCGCAACCTGAGCGGGGGGATCCGGAGTTTCTGAAACGCAAAATTGAAACACGTGACGGCTCGTTGGACAGGTTGTGAAGACATTCTTTTCCGCGAGCTGAGGTTCGGCTCAAGGAAGCTGCTTAACCATGGCAAGCAAGAAGAGCAATCACAACAGATCCAAGCAGTTGAACCCCCAGCATCCTACATACTGGAAGTCGTGTGGCCAGGCACGACCTTCTAACTTTGCAGACGTGTCAGCCTACACCCAGCAGCGAGGCTTGCGAGAGGCACAGATCTGTGCAGCATCCCACGAATCTAGGGCAGAGCAGGCGCTGTTGGCGGAGGACCGAAACAAGGCCCGAGAACTCTTGCAAGTTGTTTGTCCAAAAGCTCCGGTAATGCTTGGCGGCTCCAGACACAAGAAGACGCACTTGCGAGGTGCAGATCAAGACACGAAAGTGCTGCAGCAGCAGGCAAAGACCCAAGAGCAGCACGAGAAGATCACCCAGCTGTTGCCTGAGTATGGCTTCCGGGACCTAGATCCGAGCAATCCAAGGATCCACAAAATCAAAAGGAAAGGTCCACCTATGGATGTGGTCTTTCAGAATACGAATCAGCGCTTCTTCACATCAGGCCGTCCGAAGAATCCCTGTTCACACAACCCAGAGCTGCAAAAAGCTGTGAGGGAGGTGAAATTGTCAGCACGAGAAAGGGGAGTGGCTCTGAGGGGCCATGACATTCAGCAGTGTTGCATAGAGCAGCAGCAGACGAAGAAGCACCAGGACTTCTTAGAAGTAGCGGAAGGAGCCAAATCCAGGTTGATGGCCTGATCGCAGAGGCATCCTGCATGAGTGCAAAAGTCTTGCGGTTCTCCATGAGTTTGCGTGATTTCTGCGGCAGAGCTTAGCGAAACGACACAACCGCAGGGTCAATCCAAATGTCTCTGGGACCACCCCGTGACAGAGTCAAAGCACTATAAATCAGAGAAAAGCCGGTGTGAGATCCAAACCTTTTTGAAGTCTTGCCCACTCTGCAAATGTCGGGGTTCTCTAAATGTTGCTGAAGTTTTTGCAGCAGTGGTTGGTTCATTTTTCATTGTTTGGGGAAGCTAGTGTAGTTCCACGTTTGGATGTGTGTATGATCAGTTTGTAATGCGTCGCTGAACACATTCTCGGCCGAAGTTTCCACGAAGCTTCGATCGTCGGCGAATGGGGGATCTGTAGGTTTGCCCCTCGCAAGATGCAACAGCCGCTGGTCAGGTCTGAAAAAAAGACGACATATTGAATACATATGGAAACAAATCTCGCGAAAAGAGGGGGTGAAGAGGGTGCTACTTCCACCAAGCAAATATGGAACAAGGGTCCAACTTCTGGGTCATTCACGTGGGTACTATGGCCTAACTCATGGGGTGCTCTGCCTGGCTTCTCGTCGTTCAGTTCGCCACCGAGCCATCGGCCTGGCTCGCCCCCCAGGCAAGTGCTGCTGAGGTGCCTTCGTTCGGGCTTCCCAGCGACCGCCTTTCGGGTGAGGAACGGCCAGGACCAGATGAGAGACACGACCAACTGAACATGAGGGTTTTTACATGACATTTGCTGGAACACCTTGGTGAATACCGTGGGTGCTGCTGGGTGAATAGAGTGTTTGAAATCTAGCTGGGCTTCAAGGTCTAGCGCTTCAAGGTCTAGTGCTTCAAGGTCTAGCGCTTTAAGGTCTAGCGCTTTGGGAATTGGTGTTTGTGGCTCTGTTTTAGTCTTCTGTTGGAACTGCTTTCTGTACCGAGCCGAAGCGAGGCAAGGGGGGATGCTGAGACCCGGCCACTTCAACTAGCGCCTTTTTCTGTGCTACGTCAACACGACAGCTTCATTGTACAGAGCTGTTTCATAGCCCGTTCCGAATTGACTTTCAGAGTGGCCTCCTGCGAAGCATTGAAGATGCAGCGTCGTGGTCGTTTCCACTCTCTGACAGCGCGAAGTCGTGGTGTGTGTTGCGAAAGAGGCGCTGGCCATGAACACACTTGAGTTCACTGTCCACTGTGCCTTTGTAAGTACGCAAAAATGGATGTCTTGAAGCACCTTGTCAATTTGTTTCTGGGCTTCTGGGAGGTTTGCCGCAAGCCCTTCTCGTTGACTTTTTTGCGGAATCAGTTTGGTGAATTCGTTTGGGTCCCGAACGGCCAAGAGAGAAGCGAGCCGCCCCAGTCGCTGCCACATCTGAGAGAATTTGGGGTGCTTGAGATCAGACCTCTCAGATCACCCCAACAACATCTAACAACCTTTGAACTTTGGGGCCGCATCCATCATGGTTTTACATGTTTTCACCCGGCTATCAGACCATATCACACCCGATCGAAAGGGCCTGAGTGCTTCCATCCGTGGCCGTTGGATCTTCAGCTGGCCACACCAGCGTCTGTGCTCGCGCACCTGGGCCACTTGCTCAGTGGGTCAGAGGTCGGTGCGTGGGCTCCTCGAAGGGGAAGAAGAAATGAAGCTGCTTCGGGGACTCTGGTTAGAGTTGGTTCAGTCACCTACAGCGAGTTGAACTCCTTCCGAAGCCGGAATGAGTTGGGTGAGCCCCTGGACCAGCAAGACAGACGAAATTGGGAACCTCACAAGACAGCAAGAGGTGCCCCAGAGGTGTTCTCAGCATCCTCTGGGTGATTCACCAGCCAGATGCTGGTTGTCTATGTCTATGGTCTATGCTTGTCCATGCAGGAAGTGACCAGGCTGTTGAGACCCAAGTTGAAATGTGCACACCCGAGTAGAGCATCCGTGGCCAATCAATTTGCATCATCTTGATCTTGAGACCTGTCAATTGCATACTTATTCAAAAAGACCTACTCTTTTGCAAAAGACCTTCTTGCTGCAAAGTTGGTAGGTAGAATCTGCGGTTTTGACACTCAGCTGTCAGTCTGCACCTGACGAGGAACATGGCTTTAGGTGCTTCTGGTTTCGACTGGAAGCGCAGCTTACATCCCGTGACCCGGCGGTGCTTGTGCCGATTTGATCTGAAAAGCCTGAAAGCCCGGCGGTGCTTCTGGTTTCGAGCGGTCCTGCGGTCTCCGCGTTGGAGCGGTCCGCTCGATCGAGCGGTCCCCGAGTGAATTCGCGGCGAATTCGCCCAGGTACACCGCGCGAGTTGGCAAGACCTATGGGAACAGGCGCAGTTGGTGACTCACAGGACTCGAACCGCAGTGATGATTTGTTCTCGTGATGAAACGCAGAGAGTTGCAGGTTGCAGTCCCAGGTTGGCTGAAAAGGTGTTTTAGACATCGTCGTAGACGTTTCGCAGTGCATTTCGCAGCCCATCATCTTCAATCACTGTCGCGGCATCAGACTTGTGGCACTGTGCTCGGACCAGCGATGTTTTTGTCCCAATCTTTTCACAGCCCGGGACTGTTTGGGATTTCACTGCTGTCGCCAACTCCAGAGGTCCAAACAAGCGAAGCTGATTGGGCTTCTTCGCTTCGCTGGTCGATCGACGTTTCGCACCGACTGGAAAACGACCCTCCGTTCGTGCATGCGGTTTCCCGTGGTTGTCTTGCGGAGGTGCAAGTTAAGAACACCTTCTTGCACTTTGTGCATGGGATGGAAGTTGACGAGGAGATCACGACTGCCATTGGCTGCTGGGGGACAGATTCTGGCTTGATGTTCCCCCCAGATTAGGTGTGGATCAGACTTCAGCGGTAAAAACATCCCGACCCAACATTTGACGCTCCTTGATGTTCAAATCCAAAGACATGTGTCCTTCTCGATGTGAACACTGTGCCGTTTTTTTCGTTCAATCTGGATGACAAGAAGGACAGCCACTTGAAAAGATGATCCACTCGGCGGAGAGTTGGAACAAGCAACAAGCGACTTGTCACTAGTTGCCCATTAGGGTAGATAGAACGTAGAGCAATTTGAGGCACGGACATTGGACCATATGGGACTGACATGCTCGAGATTTCAGCAGGATGCTTCTAGATCCCAACCTTTGGGTTTACAGAAGTTTGTGAAAGCTTGGTCCAGGCGGAAAAGTACATACTCTTATTAGCAAAGGCCCAGGGTTTTCATTTTGGCCCCTGTTGTGTTGACTTGTGTTGCCGAGGGGACAGAGGGTATATAAGCATTTTTCAAGAATGTCTCGAGGAGGAGCCAGAGCAAGAGTTCCTGCTTGGAGCCAAGAGGAAGGTCTCAAGTGGTTTCCGATTCAACTGATGGAGAGGTCAATGATTCTGAAGGGGAGGTCACGATTTTGTGAGGAAGGTCAACACGCCCACTTCTTTCTTTAGTCTTTAGAAGTGGCTGGTGGCTGATTGATCACCTGATGAGCTCTCCAAAAGGGGCATCCCTATCTGGGTGTGGGCCAAGCTTCATGCGGTTTTGGTTCCGTTTTCCATAGGGAGGCTTGCGCATTGATGTGAGTCATCAGGGTAAAGTCACTCAGCTATCCATACTTACCAATACCATACCATACCATATGGGTTAGGGATGTGTGATGGTGTGAGTTGCTAGACGGTTTTTGAGAGTTCATACCCTCTCAACAGATTTTCCATGATTTTCCGTACCAACTCAATTGGTTTCACTCTGGTCCTTCAAAGTGATGATCTCCAGTCCTGGAAGAATCATGGGCCAACGCACATGGCCCCGATTTGGGATGACGATTTTCTACAAACAGGTGGTGTTCACCTGTTTTCACTCCATCCATCTGAGTTTTCCTCCAAGTGTAGCTGCTGCTCGCCTTACCGCGCCTACGGACCCGACCCGACACCGATGCCCGAGGCTCCCAACCGCCCTCCGGCGCACAGCTTCGGATCCGGCCAAGAAGCGCCTCAAGGAAGAGGCGCCGAAGATGCGAATTCAGAGGATGGTGGGGGTGGGCAGAGGTATTCTTGGGCCGGTGGAGTTCCCAAGAGTTTGATGGAATCCTTGGTGGACTTAGCATGCTCTGTAGGGATCGCAGGTTATTTACTGGAGCTAAAGGCATGATGAACAAGGGAGACAACTCTGTTTAATTACCTGTCGGATGGCTTTGGTTCAATTTTCTTCCTGCCAACACATGTGACTCGAAGTTGTGAGTTCATATTCCATTTCCGAAGGTTTGGACCTCCTAGGCTGCCTTTGTTCGGCTCATCCCACAGCTTTCGTCCCCGCATGTGTGCGGCCAATTCATCGTGCGCAGGTGGGTGATGGTGAAACCTCCACTGTGGCTGCATCTTCTTCCACCGGTTCAGGCAAGCTCCGAAGGATCATCGAAGATTCTTTTTAAAGCAAGTTCCAAGCTCAAAGTCATGGCTCCTCTTGAGTGGTGGAAGGCTTCCGAAGCGGTGGTACAACTTTGCTATGGATGTGCTCCCATGCAGAGAAAGCTCTCTTTGGTCACTCGGACAATCGGATCGTCCAAAGGGCCCACAAGAACCTTGGTGAGGCCGCGCTACACCACAGTACGAGGAGAAGCCCGGAGCGCCCAGAGGTAGTTTTTGCTCCAGCGGCTTTGTTCTTGTGATTCATCAGAAGGCCTGAGATCAGAGAGGTAGAGGTAGAGGTGGAGGTTTGCATTTCCCGAGGATCACTGGGCCAACAGGACAAAACGACCTTCCAACAGGTCGTAATTCTCTTAAAACTCTTAAGACGGAGCCGATTTTGAAGGCTTACGCCTGACAGACGGGCATCGGCCGACCCGAAGGTGAGAGGAAGGGTAAGAAGGAGAGGAAGGAGCAGGAGGGTGCGCAAGCCAGTTGTGGCTTTCAGGGTCCCTCTTTCGCTTTCGCTCTCTGTTTCTCTCTTTCTTTCTCTCTTTCTTTCGCTCTTTCTTGCCCTTTCCCGTTTCCGTTCCCTTTGCCTTCCCTTTCCCGTTCCCCTTCCCCCCTTTCGGTTTAGTTTTATTTTTATCTTTTTCTTTCCCTTTCGTTTTCGTCTTTCTCTTTCGCTTTTCTCTTGCTCTTGCCCTTTCTCTCTCTCTCTCTCGCTGTCTCTGTCTCCCTCTCTGTCTCTTTTTCTCTATCTCTTTTTCTTTCTCTTGACACACCCTGCTGCCATGTTGGGCCCATGTCGGGACCTATGTTGGAATGTTGGCCCATGCTTGGCCGTTGCTGAGCCCACGAACGGGAAGGAGAAACACAATATGCTGATTATGCAAGGCAATGAAGCACAGTATATAACAACATACAACATACCATTAATAGTGCAGGGCAATTGTGGCAGCATAACTAGCACCACATGCCTTTCAAGCTGAGCAGGGTGAGCAAAATCGGAAGGCCACGAAGCACTCTAAAGCGCGGGTCACCAGTGGTTCGGCAGTGGGTCGACGGCTGCAGCGGCTCCCGCCTTAACCTTCGGTTAACACCTCACGGTCGTCCAGTTGTCCTGTGCCCGTGCAGCTGCGATGACGACTGCAGCCGAAACGGCATCTTCAAACGCACCCCTTGGGCGTCTTCTTGCCCCACCAATGTTCGTCAAGTTGCCGTCGATTCGATTTGATTAGTTTTCTTTTGTTTTGTCAGGTAGTGTCAGGCATGTGTAACAACTGATTCCTGATCGATCTTATGTTGCAGTTGCTTGCGACTTCTTGCTGGTGTGTTTTATCATTGCTTCACCGGTGGGATCCCGCGGCAAGATTCATGTTCTGACACTCGCCCCTTGCATGAGTGTTGGCTTGCACCCGAATGTTTCGCTGGCATGAGAGTGAATTCTGGGGTGGCCCAGCGGGAGTTGAAGATGATGCGTTCCAAAACAAGGAAGATTAATCATTTTCACTCGCCGAGGGTGTTCAGTGCTACTTCCTGTGTTTTTTCTCAAGAGGAGTTTGGTCAAGTCCATGGGACCCCTGTAGATGGGAGTGGGGGCCAACATTCAATGGACCCAAGGACCCTCGTACTGGGTCGGGGCTTACCTGACAGTCAGACTACGAATTTGGAAGTTATATAGTAGTTTAATGTTAATTATATATTGAGACTCTTTGTCAGGCCGTACTGGGAGATGTTGAGAGTAGCCCGGTGGGAGTTCCTCACTTCGGCCAACATCACGGCGTAAGGCTTGCAGCCCACCAAGCTGGTCAGTGCCGTCCCTGCGGATACTTCAATGTGAAGGACTGCGACGTGAGACCGCATACTTTCTTTTGCACAGTCCAGTCTGAAAGTCTAATGTGCATCGTGGCACGGAAAATCTTCATTCTTCAGGGGCTTTGTGGGTTTTGGCCTACGAAACAAGTCGGTTTCTCTTTCCTTGGTCGATCGCATGGTTTGTTGTGATGGGGCCTCTCACTTTCTTTTGGCAGACTAAGTCGGTGGGCATGTCGCAACTTTTTTGAACAAAGTTTGTCCTTCTTGAGCAGCAGCACTCCATGTCTCCAGGGTGATGGATGCCGCCTGGGGGACGACTGTCAGTACTGCCACTTCTGCACGGAGCAGGACGCCTCCCACCGGATCGATTTGCTCTCCCACGGATCGTCCTGCTACTACTGGGGGGCGATAACACCATAGCGAAATAGACAATGGGAGATTGAGATGGCCATATGGAATCTCCAAATCATTTGCAGTGGACTGGCCTTTCTACAATGAATTGTTATATATATATATATAGAGCTATTGAGAAGGAGTGGTCTACCAGAGTTCAGATGGGAGGTTGGAATCTTCATTGAAGAACCACAGGACTTGAAAAGCCGCAAGCGCAGCTCCAAGCGCAAAGCCCGCTCGGAAAAGCGTGCTGCTGCGCCGCTTGGCATGGCTTCGGACAGACGTTCGCACGTTCTGCACGCTGGGACGGTTCGGCTCAGATGTTCGGAACGATCGGCACGGGCCCGTGCCGGACGGGCCATGAAGTCGTACAATACTGTATATTAATTGTTTCTAATAGCTTCTTGTTACTAGTAGTAAGGCACTTGTTACTAGAAGCGATGCACGTGTTCCTAGTAGCGTCTTTGTTACAATGTTTTTGAATTGTTTTGGAACATGGTGGAAGCATAGTGGACCTCTGCCATACCCATGTGGTGGCGTATTTGGCATATGCGGTAGGTCGAAGCTGGACTGGGCTGGACTGGGTCGAAAAGATAATTGTTTTTCTTTTAGCATTTGGCCAGGAGTCAATTCTAGGTCACAGTAGGCTGGTTGCTTCTTTCGACATGTCTGAGCGACGAAGTATCGTTGGATCGTGTTTTGAAGGAAGGCCTATACCCTCGGCACTTTGTTTGCATTCGACTTGTCCCCAGGTGCATTGCCCGAGCAGCAGACATCAATCCAGGGGCAGAAGAGGATGATTATGAGGAGATGCTTCCAGGTTGGTTTTTGTTGACGTGATACTCCCTACCTCGGGATGGCACAGTTGATTTCAAACCCAGTGCCCAGCGGAGTTGGGACCCAGAACTTTGGAACGGGACTCTACTTTAGTCCCGTTGCTGGTCTACAGGGAAGGCACTTTTACTTCTTCATTTTTTGTTCATGAGGATGCACTCCACTTCCAGTTCAGCACCTCAACTTATTCCCTGCCCTCCTGGAAAACCTGAGCGCCAGGACTTGTGGTTCTTTGCCAAATAAGAAAGCTCGCGCAGAGGCCAGAAGTGAGGTAGAAACTTTGAGCAAAACCATGCAAGATTTAGACAAATGATAGTGGTTTCCCTTGAGAACTAAATCTTTCAGCTGTTAAAGATTGAAACCCAGGCCTCACCCATACCTCTTACAGCTTTACTAAAGCTCGGAACATGCCGGCTTCACCAGGAAACCATGGACTCCCTGGTTGTATTGTGAGTGGATTGGGTGTCTTTTTCCTCCAATGTGAGGATTCCAGATGGACAGTGTCACTGTCCATCAATCCTCAGTCTGTAGTCCGTGTACCTTCGCGGACTGTTCTCCTTGAAAAGTTTGGATGGGTGCAACTTGCAACCCCCGAAAAGCCTGATTGACCCAGTGGTCCTGACGCGCTCAATTCTCCCTGTTGGGCGCAAGACGCTACAGCGGGCTGGTGCCGGGGAGTTTGATAGGTACCACTGAGAACAACACACACAAAAAATGATCATCTTCGATCGAAATAGAGAAGTGTCGCCATGGGCGGTACACCCCTTGCGGCCAAGAAGCCCGAAGAAGCCCAAGTGAACGGGTCGCGACGGCTGTTTTTGCTCGTGACCTGCGAAGCGAAGTCATGGTGATATGCCCCTTGCTCTTATGAAATCAGCGATCTTTACGCAGAAAATTATCATAACATGACCAAACCGGGTATCTTCATAAACAGCAATTGGGGGAGGTGTGTGGATTTGGTGTTGGTACTGACATAAATACAGGATGATGTTATTAAAAATGGCTGGTTCAAAGCCTGGTTTGTCAGTTGAAATTAACTTATGTTGGTTTCCATTTTATAACAATCTACTATTTATAGAATGTAAGACCGCACGTGGACAAATTGAGTAAGGGGGATGTGATGATATTCTTCGGGGAACAAGGCTCGCACACGATTCTCTAGACACATCTTCAATACTCAAAGCCCCGAAAGTGCCGAAAGCTTGAGAATCTGATCCATCGGCTTTGTTTGCAAACTTGTTGTCGTTCACCCGCAGACTTTTTGGTCCCAACCCTTCTGGCATCGAGCGAATAGATTTCCTTTCTTTGACACCTACGCCTATGACCGACTCGTGAGCAGGAACGCAAGAATGACGACAGCCTGTTCTGATGAGCAGGTGCGGGTTCAGGAACAGACGCCGCACGTGTGCTTCCACCATTTCTTGGGCTTTTGCAACGGGTGTGGGTGAATATGTCAAAGAATAGTTGGCCACTTTCTTTTGAGGGCCAACATCTGCATCGAAGCTCTTGTGGGGTGTGAACTTCAGCAGTGGGGTGCCACAAACGGAGCACCGACCGCCGTCCTGTTCGGCCCCGGTCGGTCGGGACTGAGCCCGAGTGCCGAGCCTTCGTGTGTGCCGAGCTGAAGGGGGTTTCACCCTCCCAAGCCCACGAGCCAAGTTTGAACTCCTTAACGTGGGTGCGAATTAAAGAGTGAGACCTCCCAAAGACTCCCTGGAAGGTTCGGAACATAGAACTGTCTACCCAGCCGGGGGCTGGGGAGACCCCGGATTGAACAGTCTCCAACACGGGGTTTTCTGTGTGCATGTTTCGGTCCGAAGAATCGTTCCCTACAGCCCCTGCATCCTGCTGCTCGATTTGAGGCCAGCTACACCTGCGCGGCACGGGTTACGATCATTTCTGTTTACGGAGTATCACCTGGTCTTCTCTTTGCGCGATGGTCGAAGAACAGTCGTTGAAGAACCCCAAGAACTCCAGCGTTGGACTCTTAGATCTTCCAGAAACATCCAGGTCGCTGGGTATGTTCGATGTTCTTAGCGACCCAAAAACCGGACGGGAAAAAATCCCAAGGCTCGGAGGCCACCTCTTCAACCGTCATTCGACTGTCCGCTTTCGTGACGTGCCATGTGTTTTTTGCTGTCTCACCCCTTCGCATAGCGACTCTGGCACATATTCTTAGAATACTTCCTTACGAGTCTGGTCTCGAGAAGTCTCGCAGCAGACGAAGCAGTCCAGATGGGGCTCGGCTTTTTCTCGATTTCGTTCGGTTGGTGGCTCGACTCAAAACTCCAGCTGACTGGGGAGTTGTGCTGGGATAGCGTGCTGGGCAGTATCTGCGAACCTGTATACCACTCCTGGTTTTCTTCCAAAACATCGTTTGACTGGAATAGCCTGCCACAGGGGGATGTATGCATGCTTGAGACTTTAGCCCAGGATACTTCGTGCTAAAGGCGAAGCTTTGGTAGGTTTGCTGGCCCGGGTAGAAGCTCATGTAGGAGTAGAGGACGAGCATGGAACCAAAAGGCCTAACAAGAGCCCAATGGACATGACGATTGTCGTTGGAGACCCACACGACAAACATGACCGGTGGTTTCGTCGACCGGTTTCCTTGGTCCCAGCTGTTTCGAGCAAGATCGGTCGTGTCCCAACTGGTGGCTGTGTCTGAATTCAGTCCTTTCATGTCCTTTCTAGCTGCTAGCTTGCAGAAGAAGTCATTCGCCGCGACCAAACCTTCAGAGCTCCGACGCTTAACCTGAGTGCTCAACATTCAGTGTTTTTCAAGTGCTTTCTCATTGACTTAAAGGAGCCTTGGAGAGGATGTAAATGTAGCTGGCGGAAGATTGCAGATCCTCATCCAGAGAGTATCTGCAGTTGTGACTTTCTTGTTCTTGGTCATGCCCTACGAATCTGGGGACCTCATTTTACATTACAAGGTGCCAAATGGCCATGCAATCCACACGCAGCCAGCGTGAAGCCTGGTTTCGCATTGGAACGCACAGCCGGAAGCACCAGCGACCTTCTGGAAGAAGGGGTGTGAACATGTTGACGCAACCAGCCTCCTGCTTGAACGTTGATCCTACTTCCTTCGTCAAGAGAGTGGGTTGTCACAGTAACTGGTCTCCACAAGCCTTGTTGCTTTAATACTCTTAGAGGTTTGGAGTTTGGTTGGCCAAGGGTGGAGGTGGACACTGCAGCGAAATTTTGCTGCCATTGATTGTCTGAACTTTCCAAAGAAGTGCTTTTGAAATGCTCGGCCAGCTGCCAGCTTGCCGTAAGTAACTACTTGGTCCACCAAGTGCACCGTATTCACTTCTTCGGACAGGTTCTGCTGTTCTTCGGACCGGAGGCTCCCGCAGAAGCCCAAATCAGAAGAATTGGAAGGAGTGAGGAGCTTGAAGTGCTGAAGAGGAACCGATTCTTCACGAGACCATTTGCGGGTAGCCAGGAGTATTCCTTATATTCCTGTTGTTTTTCGTTGCTGTTCATGTCCTGGAAACTTCACCGAAAACTAGCTTTACTACAGGATGTCCAAGAATCATGGTCAGATGGGTAATTCCCCTTGCCTTCCCAGAGTCACCACGTGGTTTGTGTGTGTATGTGCCCCTTGTAGTCACAGGGATTCTTTTGAATTGTTTTCGTTTTGTTTCAAGCAGGGGGACTGGAGCCGATTTGCCTATCCAGTCCAACGAAGCTATGGCATTTCGGTGGATGAGTGGTCTGATCAACCACTTGTACCTGCACAATTTTTAACCTTTGGTAAAGGGCTAATGCATTTGGCAGTCAAGAGCGTACGTCGTCATGTCGACTTGATCGTCGCCTTCGATCTTGAGACTTTGGCCCTACTTCCTTTGAAGACCCCGAGGCTCCGTGGTTCTTACTCGTACTCTTAGGAATTGGTACGCTAGGCCGGCGTGTGGCACCGCTGTCAAGTCAGTACGCATATCCATAAGTGTGTCTGGCCTCGTGCCAGTCCGGGATGAGCCCGTAGAGTGCCTCCCGTGGACCCGTCGAACGGGTGTCTGTCCTTGTCTCCCCTGCTCGGAGATGTGCGTGCCCAGAGCGGGCGTAGGAGGCTTATGCCAAAGTTTTTGCCTAGATTTGCTGAACTATTGAATTCCAAGTTGGCTCATGCCTTTACGTGACCGCAGCGGTCAAAGCAGCCAGCCATATTGGCACGGCGTACGTGGCCGCAGCCGCCGAAGTTTGTTCGAGGTTCATTGGAACCTGTCGAGACCTTGGGTGCACATACAGCGTGTACATTCAAACGAGGCAGGTTTTCCTAGGTCGTTTTAATGAGGGTTGGCTTCATCGGCTTCGGTCCCCTCCATTTGGTTCCCTTTTCATCCTTTCCCCTTTACACACTTCTTTTCTCTTCTTTTCTTTCATGTCTTCCCTTGCTTCCTGTCATCTCATCTCTTTCCTTCTTTTGCGTGCACACTGCCCGGCCCTTAGTTTGTACATGCACAACATACTTTCAAATCAGGTTTCAGGTTGCCCAGGTTTTTACAATGAGGTGGGTTGTCATCGGTTGTTCCAGCGCACTTGGTTCCTTTTCATTGCAACCACACACATTCTCGTCCCGTCTGGTCCTCTTCGTGTCTTCATTCTTTTGTCTTATTGCGCGCACACTCACACTTTTGCCCTGACCTTAGTGCTTCTCGCCTCCCCTCGGGGAGGCGTGTGTGTGTGTGTGCCCCTTGTCACAGGGATTCTTTTGAATTGTTTTCGTTTTGTTTCAAGCAGGGGGACTGGAGCCGATTTGCCTATCCAGTCCAACGAAGCTATGGCATTTCGGTGGATGAGTGGTCTGATCAACCACTTGTACCTGCACAATTTTCAACCTTTGGTAAAGGGCTAATGCATTTGGCAGTCAAGAGCGTACGTCGTCATGTCGACTTGATCGTCGCCTTCGATCTTGAGACTTTGGCCCTACTTCCTCTTGAAGACCCCGAGGCTCCGTGGTTCTTACTCGTACTCTTAGGAATTGGTACGCTAGGCCGGCGTGTGGCACCGCTGTCAAGTCAGTACGCATATCCATGAGTGTGTGTGTGTGTATGCCCCAGCACTCAATTGTGTTGTGACCTGACAAGGAAGACGCACACCGAAGCAGGGAAAACCGGGCTGCTCTTTCGGGTGGTAAACGTTGCAAGTTGTGGACCACAAGTTGTGCAGATGAACATGTATATAATGACTCGACTCCTTTGATGGACTTCGCTGCAACAAGGGGCGTCAGCAGTGATTTTCTTCGTGCTCCTCACGTCCCAGAGTTCTTCGACGCCTCGACACTTCGAAACCCTCTCCGCTCGTGAAACCAATCTGCGCCGGAGGCCATCTTGAGCTTTTGATGTTCCACCGTGAATCAGGGAAAGAACCCTGACCTGGACGGTCAAACTTCTGCATAGTCTTTTTCTTAATCAGTCAACAATAGAACACTCTCAAGCACCACGAAAAACAATGATTTCGGACATTCAGGTGATGGCTTGGACATCTCACACTTCCCATGATTCAAGGGGATTATTCCTCGGACACCCATGGTCTTTGGATTGAAAAAAACAGCGTTGTCGCCTCGGCGGATGGGCCATGAGCACGTGAGAACGCACTCGACGTGAGTGGGATGACTCGAGGTGTCGCAAAGCGAAGCGACCTGAAAACGAGGTGCAATGCCCGATCGTTTTGGCAATTTCTTTGTGCCTGGTTCTGTTCGTGCGGATCTTATGCGCTCCTCTCCGGTAGCTCTGTGAAGTGGCAGCGATGCTGCAACCGTGGCCAAGTTGTTTGCCAGTTGTTGATAGAGATAATCTTGCATCCTCAGACTAACACACTGGCCGATCGGATAGGTTTGCACAACTTGATCCATACACAGAACAGCCGCCACGGGGTGTTCTTGTTTGAACGTTTCTGCTTATCGTAGCTCTCCTGGTCGAACGGTTCAAAGTCCGGAAAAATATGGCGAGCTTGGCATCTGGGAAGTGGATGTAGGTCAAACCAAACATGATGACAAAGATTGCTAAGTAGATTGTGCATAGTGCATGACTGCTGTTGATGATGTGTTCAGCAGAGTACCGCCATGGAATCCCCCTAAGTTGACTTGAAGGATGTGCTCTTAAGGCGCCCATTCCGAGAATTGGGTGTGCTTTCTTTTTTGGGTGTCAACCTGAAGAACCATGTGGCTTTCACCTGCTTCCATGACTGATTTGAGATCAACCTGTCCCTGGACATGGCCCTCAGCATGGAACTACTCATCAACTATGGACTATGGCTGCATCGCGCGAAATCAACACTTGTAGCTTGCCCCAAAGTGAGAGGATGCTTCCTCCACGAGCCGCCCCAACGGCAAGGTTTCTTGACGTGTCCTGTGCAATCGGTGGGTTCTGAACTTCCACAAATCAAGTGTCGAGCACGAGGACCTAGAAGGTTTCTTTTGTAGCAAGACAAGTAGCAATTGTACAGAGAGTTCAGAAAAATAGAGTATTCCAGAGAACTGTATGGAAGCAGTGTAATGCAGCATAGTTTTTCAGCACATCACAGGGTGAGGCATCTGAGCTCAAAAAGGCTAGGTCCAACTCTGGTACTTGTAGAGTCTTACTGTCTTAACGTCTTCAAGTGCCCGCCTGCTGACGGCTCAAGTCGTTGCGACAGTTCCTCTGTTTGTTGGCCACCATTCAGTCCTCAAGCTTTGAAGGGACACAAGCGAGCCAGGAACGCAACCGAGCTCAACGGACACCATTCAGCTCCATCCACCGGAGTCCAGCAGGTCACTCCTCGGACTCCGGTCACTCTTTTTTCCACGTCCCTTGGCATGATCTCCTTCCGATCTCGCCATGAACATGTGAAGCCCATGGACAAAACAGGAGCACCAACCATGGCATGGTGAAGACGTGGACATGGTGACTTCTGATGCCTCGGGGGGTTAGTCAAATCCAAAAAGCTTTCTCTGGGCCATGTGGCGATGTCATGTGGCGATGT